CATTCCTATTTTTGTTTCTGCTAATCTTAATGTGGAAAAATATCTTCATAGAACACGATCCTGGCATCTCTGCTGCTTATTGAAACAAGAAGGATGGCAGAACAACCTCACCAGAGTAAACAGAAGATGTGAATGTCAAGCCATGTGAAATGCACCTCATTAATATCTGCATAAACCAAATGGAAAAGGCACAGACGTTGTACAGACTGGGTCTGACTTTGATCCTTGGCAGGTACCTTTGAAAAACTCCCAGTCAAATCAGCTCTAAACGGCAGAGAGAAGTGAATGTTCAAGAGGAGAAAACACCTCGATTCACAGAAGTCTTTTCTCACTTTGGGTGCTCATGGGCTATTTTGGCTAGGAGAATCACCACACACCACAACCACTGAACACACTGACTCTTTTTTCCCCTTAGAAAGGCACTTTCTCTTTTTCTGAAAAAGGGAAAACGACAAGCAGGAACGGACACTGAGTGAGTGCATCTCTAACCCTGCTCTTCTTCAGGATGACACATTCCCACTCAACAAGCAAAGCCAGCTCTCCAGCAGCACAAATCGCCCATTGCTTCAGGGACCGCAGTCTGCCTATACTGCAGCCCATTTTGTGGAGCAGAGGGCAGCAGGAAAGGGCTCTCTGGAGTGGATGGAGGCACAGGACTGAACTGCAAGGTCCTGCCAGATGCACAGCAAGAGCCTGAGCTGCACAGGGGCTGCCAATCTCAGTGCAGCCATCAAGCTGCTCCCTCGCTGACTTCCAGCTGCTCGGCAGCCCTCGGTCTGCCTCTTCCAGCAGAGCAGCAGACAGCTCAGCACCTGGATACACCCAACAGTGTACACCTCTTTATTTGTATTTGCCTCCATTATGAAGGAGATGCTGATTAGTTTTAGAGAGGCTGTGCAGCAGGCAAGAGAAAGCAATGACCAACTTGCTTACCTCGAACTTTTCTCCTCTGCAATATTGTACTCTTAGCCTTGCACAACTGGGTACAATTCACCACACTCGCAAGTGATTTCTCCAGTTTGTCTGATCAGTTTCTAAAGCACTCAGACAAACAACTGCTGATTTAGAAAATGGAGACAGCAAGCTTTTTTTTTTTTTTCTTTTAATCTTGGAAACATGCAGGTTTGGTCAGCTGTATGGCAAAAATATAGCTAATACTGATCAGAATTAATGTCAGTTCTGGATTACTTAGAGGCTAAGTTTCAGGATTAAATGCAATAGAAACTTGCTGCCTCTAAGAAAGTCTGAAAACAAGTCCCTTCTCCTCTGCACATTAATGACCTGTAACTGGCAAATGGGATCACAATAGTCTGTCCCATTGCAGCCTGATGAGTTAGGTAATGTCTGGAAAGCATTTGGACCTCAGAAAGGGGAACGTTTTCTGAGCAGTTTCAGTTGTTATGTAACCAAGTCACATTTAGAAATAGAGCTTGGCTGCCTCAGTCATGCCATCACTTACATGTGATTTAACCTACGTGCTGGGCTCTCTCTTCCAGTACTATGGATAGTCCCAGTTTGGGCCCAGAATGCCAAAGTCTGGGACAAATACAGAGAGCTCCTGGCTGCAAGTCAGGCCATCCTGGAGAAAAGAAACACATACAAATGGCTAGAGTCAGCTCACATAGAGGAAAAAAAGCAGGATGTCTGCCATCCCCTACACCCACACTAACTGGATTGGACTGAGCAGGACTGGTCCACAGCCCAGAAAAAGTACTAGAAATCTTGGCAATGACTTCAGTCAATTTGAACCACGCTCAGCGACTCGCAGGTTTTAGCTGGTATGAAACGCTAGCTCCAGCCTCTGCTTCCAGGAACAGCTGCATTGTGCCTTTTGCTGCAGTGACCGTCATCTTGCACAGACTGCCCTGTGCATACCAGCAGAGACTGCAAATGCCTGCTGTCACTCCAGAAATCTGTTCACTCCAGTATTTGCTCCGCTGTATCCATTTGGTCCAGGCACTGTGCTTAGCAGGGAAAATTGCATTTAAAGGTTCTACAGAACAGTCATTCCTCCTTTCCACAACATGTTCCAGTATTAATTGCTTTGTTTGGATTCTCCTCTCATCTCTCAAACCTTTCTGATGGGAATAAAACATGCAGTAGATGACAACTTTCAAGTCATTTTCATGTCATCTCTGATAGCTGCTGTAAGAAGGTTACTGATACTGCTATTAATTCTTTAATTTCAATTTTCCTTATACATTCCTGCCCCCAGCAAGCCCTCAACATGAAATTATTTCTGAACCGTTTCCAGTCTGTTCCTGATGTTGCTCTCAGAATGATCTGAAGACAGATAATACAGCTGTCATTTCTCAAGGCTCCCCTGCCATGCTTTGATAAAATCCAAATCATGGCTTTGATAGTGCCAGATTTTACAAGCCTATTAAGCTGTCTCTGCCAAGTGATGGTTTTCTCTTTACAAGCTGTGGGCAGACACAGGGTTTCCAGGCTCCACAACGTTTAACATCCCATCTTCACCCAACTGCCTGCATTTTTTTTTCCAATCTGACTGCCCATTATACCAGCAGCTTCAGCATAGCCACAAGGAGCAATTACCTTATTTGTCCACAAATAGGATGATGATGAGAAATATTTGCATTTAAATAGGAAAACAAACCCTATTAGTGAAGATATCCTGCATTCCCATTCTGATTTCTGCTCCTATCCCCCCTTTATTTTTCCCCTCTGACAGATCTCCATTCACCAAGGCATCCAGCACTTAGTTTGGTCTCTCCTAAATATGATAAATTAGAAATTAAACCCATGTCCAAATGCTGCGTGAAAATCCCACCAGCTTCAGTGAGCCTCAGCCACAGTCAGACAGTAGGGAAGTGGAGCAGGTGGGATGAATGAGCTCTTCTTCATTCCAGCACTGTTTCGTAACAGTCAGACGCTCGCTATTCTGATGTGCAAACTGGCTCTTGTGGGTGGTAGCTATCCTTCCTTCCCCAGTCCTCCCAGATTTTGCTCACATGTCACGCTGCACAGGTGAGCAGACATTAATCTGTAATTAAACAATGACTCACTTTCTGAGTTGCCCACCTTGTGAGCTTTCACAGGGTTAACCAACTCTGATGCTAAATAGCCAAATAAGAGCTCAGAGCGAAAGAAATATTCATCACAAACAGCAATGGCTCTTCTGGCCAACAGCACAGCCTGCACATGGCAGATGGAGGCTCTGAATCACAGTCAGCAGCTTCTCTCTAACTGCTCACACACCTAGAATGAGCCATCTCCGTGATACCTAACGCCTCCATGTCAGGTATCAGACCCAGCTTCCCCTCCAACATTCCCATCCCCACCTTCCATCTTGATGGTACAAAATCCCACTGAAATGCATGGTCCCAACACAAGCAGTTCATGTTTCCCCACCCAGCTGAAGCCTAGCCAAGCCTGAAGCTAGCTGGAAATCATCTCATGTTGACAAAGGACAATTAAGTTGCAAGCAAATGGTTTTGAAACAGAGATCAGAGGGAGAACGTTCTTACTTTGGGAGTGCTAATAACATGCAGACAAGTGACCTGGTAGCAAACAGCAACCTGGCAAGCAGTGCTAATACTTGCTCACAGACCCAGCTGCACTGTGAGCACATTGCTTCACTGGATTACTGCAAGGCTGCAGATTTGGGAACCAAAAAAATGGTTACATTTACAAGACAGAAAACAGTGATTCACAGAAGCAGTGTTCATGGGAAACAATTTTTACTTAAACTCTCTGAGGTATTGATGCCAGTCTTACATGGCTGCAAGTTGGGCAACACGAGGGCAAGCTGTTTTGTATGAAGACCTGAGAAGTCCCCAGGAGAACTGCTCCCAGAGCAAAGAGCCAGCTTTCAGAGTGCAAGGAAACACAGAAATGAGCTTAAACAAAAGCCAAAACAAAACCACAGCCTGAAGAATTCCTGCAAAGACAGACTAAGAGTTTGATGTGTCTGAATAAAACAAAGGGACAACTCAACTGATACTCACAGGTACTTGCACAGGGAAGAGATAGCCAAGAGTAAGCCTCATCGAAAGAGGACCCAATGGGCAGAAACTGAAGTCACGTACATTCAGCCTTGAAATGAAAATTTGTTTACCAGAAGTGAAAGTAATTAAACCACTGAAATAGCTTCCCCGGGGAAATGGCAGGCTTCCCCACCAGGAAGTATATCGCTGCCGGGTGATGTACTTTAATCTTCTTAATCTACCCTCCATCCAAGCATGCCAAACAGACATATTGCAGTGGTCCCCTCCCACGTGGCCTGCCTCAAGGCTAATGGCCTTTGGCTTACAGCTGTCCTGCTGGAAACCAAGAGCCTGAAGCCAAGGAGAGCTCCATCCCAAGCCAAGGGTTGGCTCTGACTCCCCTGGCAGGCTCTGTGGAAACCCGGGGACCTCCAGACCACACCAGGCTCAGAGCTCCTCAGCTCTCGGCAAACTCCCAGAGCAATTTCCATCTCCACGCAGGGAGCCTTGGCTCAGCTACCCAGCAGTTCCACCGCATTTCAAAGTTTTCCAGTCTTTCCCCTGCCCCATAATTCCTTCTCCCAGCAAAGTCTGAGTTCATATGCAGAAACAGAACCTGTTTATTAATCATATTCTAGTCCAAAAAAGAGCAATAGCTGTAATGCTATAACACAATGGAAAGTGCAGCAATGACAGCGTAGTTGCAAAGTCCTAGGCTGCAAGTGAGGATATGCTCAATGCAGCAGCCATAGACACAGAAACAAAGGAAAAAAATCTTCTTACCTTCTGAAGGCCTCACGTACAGAGAAATCACCAGCAAAATACCCTTACCTCCACTGCCAACCCTTAAATGAGGTCTGGGAGGGCATAGATCCTGGCTCTACCCTTCCAGTCACTCAGGTACATTGCATGCAGCTGAGCTCTTCTGAGTTGGCCCTGTCTTCCCACCAGGTGCTCAATCACTGTTTCAAGCTGCGACTCAGCATTTCAGCTACAACGGCCCACCTCAGCAAGGTTCTCACTTCCTAGCAGAGTGCTGTGAGCAGAACTCACCTACAGGGCTGCCAACCAGGTCTCTCCAGTTGCAGAAAATGTCCAGAACTGTGAACTGGCAATGGGATAGGAGAGGCTGGAACAGCCACTTGCAACATGTACTGCTAGCCTGCTTGGATCCTCACAGACCAGTATGCTCTGCCTGTATCTCAGTATGGGCTTATCTTCCTCAGTGCTGTTGCAGAGGACCTCTCTGGGACCTTCTTTCCCAAATGAGCATGTGGGGCAGCAGACCAAAAGCTTGTACAATGGCTAGCAGAAGCAATTTGCTCTCAGTGCAAGGGTCAGGCAACATAGCTCACTCTGAATTCTTCCCAGGCTTTCCTGACACGTGGAAGAGGCCAGTTAAACAGCTAAACAGTACTGCTTGCCCACTTGCTTTTCCATTCATTATACATGTTTCCAAACAAGAGAATTTGCTGCAGCATACACAACAGAGCCACATTTGTGCTTGCCTCCACATTGCTGACTCCAGTAACCACTTTAAGATGGCAAGAAAGCCAAGTTATGTGGCAGTAATTTTCCAGCATGAAGAGATGAGGTCAGTATCTGCCTATTCTACTTTAGATTTTCCAGAACAAGCATGAGCCATTTCTTTTTATGCACTGCAGCACCTTTAAAGCATACAGTAGGTTGTTTCTTAACGACCTGGAACATCTTTCTTGATGAGATCTCTTCTCAAATTGTTATTTTCCTCCAGCTGGGTTAGGGCTGTCTGGCTTTGGCACAACAAGAAAAGCACACACATTTTCTGTGATTTAAGTATTGCAAAGACTCAAGCGTCCACGTGGCAGAAGCAGTGCTCAGACATCCATCCCTTCCTACCACTGTCCAGAAGGGAACATTCCCCTTCCTCCTCCAGATTACCCCAATTTCAGGAGAGCAGATCCAGCTGTCACCCACGTACTTGAGTATGCAGGTAATTTTCCGTCTGACCCACCAGACAATATGACAGAAACAGACAGCATCTCAGAACATATGCAACATATGCACAAGGTATGTGGTGCAAATGCCTTTCTCAGTAACAACAACCTGTGTGCAATACAGCCATGGTGCAAGTGTTTCTGCCAGATAAGTTCACCTGTCACAACTGATGGATCCTCTTTAAGCACCTGGCCAACTTGCAGTTACTTGCTTTTACAACACCTCCAGCTTCATGACAAATCTACCCATGCTGCCGCTTAAATATACGTATACTTCACAAATAGCCATGCAGGGCTTTTATTCTTCAAAGGAAATTCCCAGTGAGGCCACCGTTTCCACTCCACTACTCTCGCTCCACTGACACCAGGTGTCCACCCTCCCCAGCACGCACCAAGCAGCAGATGTGTGGCAGAATACATTGCACAATCTGTAAGAAAACAAAAATAATCCTGCCTGAACTCATGACTAAACAGACAGGTTTAATTACGAGTATGATTTGACAGAAAGAATTTCCCAATCAAGCCTTTCAAAGCACTCTCCCAAAAATAGACAAGGATCCCAGGAATGTCAGCAAACGTACACTTGCACCACCCCTGCTGGTTGCAGCAAAATCCATTTTACAGAGAACCTGATGCTGGAGGTTTCCACAGTTTGCCTAAAGAAGTCAATTGCAAGTGATTATCAACCAGTGACAGAAAGAGTCCAACACTGCATTTCATCCACGTGCAATACTCTACCTAAAGTACACGGTTTTTTATTAAGTTTTGTGCTGTTGATTTCACCCACAGAAAAACAGAATAGAGGTGACTCCTAACTTTTCTGCATCCTCCTGGCATGCCCTTGACTACAGAATACAGAAGCTAACTTATGTCTTTCCTAGCTATTTTCCAAAGATCCACCTTGAGTTTCTGAACAGACATTATTTTGTGGTCACTGCCACTCACAGAGTGGCCCAGAAAAAAAAGTAAGGACTCCTTCATCCTCATTGCAGTTTGAGACAAAGGAGCTCTCTGGGCTACTCAGAAGCATAGAACAAAGAAGAGACCAGATTGAGTGGTTTTTTTCTTAGACCAGATTTCTTAGAAGCAGGTACAACAGAAATTTCCATCTATTACTGCTGCTCACTACCAGATTGGTTTTTCAGATCAGGCAGGGACAGCCCAGGCTCAGCAATTTGGACACCCTGAGTTCCATCCACATCCACATGCACCTCTGAAGGCTGATGTCTAAGGTCTCCAAACTGTTGCTGTTCCCTGGTTTCACACAAAGCCAAGGACAGACTCTGCTACTTTAAGATCTCTGTGCCCATAAGCAGAGTTAGGCCTAAATCAATGCTCACAATCAAACTGCAGATGAAATTGGAAGAAATGTTTCCTTGAAGAACAGTTTCTTTCTTCTAGAAGAGACAGAACAGCTGGGGGTTATGTTCCCAGTGATCCTGAGCTTCCCTTTGCTACTGCTGAACAACCATTCCACGTATTTTGGTAGGTGAACATGCAGAGCTGTTGTTTCCATTATGTGGGCACACAGTCCTCTGGGGAGGGTCACCATGGTTTGACCCAGGCAGCACAGCACCAACCATTTCCCCTTGGGACACATAAAGCTTTCACCAAACTTCCTCTCCACAACTTCAAACCATTAGCAAAGACAGCGTAAAAATTCGGGTGGAACAGTTACAAGTTACATCCCTAAAGATGAAACACCAGCTTACAGGTACCGCACAGCAGATGGACCTATCTTTCATTCCAGCAGTTTATACTACAAGCAGGTCTGTGAGCACACACACAGGGCAGGCACTCCTGCATGGCTGTACCTGTAATTGTAACTTCAGGCTGCCTTAGCCTGACCCTTCTGCAGAACAGTGTTAGCAGGCGCCCCCCCCCCCCCCGTCTTTGACCTCTGCCTACTGTCTGTAGTGATATTTACAGATGCTTTAGTTTCCCCTGCTCCGTGGGCTGGTTCCCAAAGCCTTTTCATATTTGAGACATGTCAAGAAAATAGAAACACTGACAGGGAAACTAATTCAAGCATCGAGGGACCAAACTACCATTAAAACACTAACACACACAGGAACACATACTAATGTGCTAAGGAACGGTAGCCAATGAAAAAGAATAGGTAATTTTCTTCTGTCTCCCACTCTTTTTATGGTTCATATTACCTGTCACAAGCAGCTACTGCAGAGCCCATACTGAAGCACAAAGGAAAAGGAGGGGGCAGCTCAGCATATGCTATAAGACATCCACCCTCAAACTCTGCCCATCAAAGGGAATTTAACGTCCAGACATCTACCATTTAAGAAATAAAGTAAAATGGTGAGAATGGACTGCAAAATGCTTTTTCTGCCATTACACTCACTGCTGAGGGAAAACATTTTTGATGGGGTGACCTTTGCATGGAGCTGTGTTCATACTGAAATGCATTTTGCTGGCCATGAAAAAAGCAGCTCCTTCTGACAGCTGAACGCAATATATAGGGACTATTTAAGAGAAGCTGCTTTACAAACAGCAGGTGGCAGATAACAATTAGTTTTAGACTTCTATTCTGGTAGTGATAGGGAAAAAATATATCTGCGTTAGTCACAATGTGCTTGATACCATAGCAGAGACGAGGCTCTCCTTGTCTTCTTTCCCATATTTTATTAAGGCATTGCCTTAATTCCATCATACACAAACACTTCCGTTTGCACTTTTGTCGGTTCCCAAATCTATCACCCCACGGTTTAGCTCAGTCCTAAATACATCACATGTTTACATACATTAAATGCAAACACTAAGCTGTGGGAGAGCTTTACGACGCCTTGCAGATCAGGGTACAAACCTAAATCTATGGAGCGAGGAGAAGGAAGGCAGAAAAAACAAGCCCTCGCACAAGATTATCTTCACTCAAAGCCTGACCTTTTGCCTTACACCAGTGCCCCCAGCAGGCACAGGAGGGCAGAGCCGTGTCAGAGCCCAGCGCAGAGCCGTTCACATCCCTCCTGAGACACCGGTTTCGCTGTTCCCTCTCAGGGCTGGCAGTCTTGGAGCAAACTGGCCCTCGTGGGCCCGTGGAAGGCATGCAGAAGGAACCGTGCACACAAGCACCCCAAGCAAAGCCTTCCAACGAGGCACCAAACCACCCCAGCACACCTGCAGCCACACTGTGACCCCACAGTGGGGTCAGTTGCCATTACGTGCCCCAGTACCAACCCACCCCACAGGGAAAAGGGCCCCTCGCTCACCTCGTCCTCAGCAGGCAGAACCCAGCCAGCACTGCCATGCAGGTCACTTTCACCAGCCCACCAGGAGGGGCCGGGCCCAGCACACCTGTGAGCAGCCCCAGCTGGGGCAGAGCCGGCAGCCATCTCGGGTGGCAGCCCTCAGCAGCACAGCCCTCCTCATGCTGCTGGGCCGTGTCTGTCTACTGCCAGCTGCAGGGATATCTAATTCCTCCAAAAACATTCCTCCAAACTGGATCTTCCTTCTATTGATGGCCTAGTGTGCGAGAAGAAAAGCATGCAGCTGTTCTGGTAGTGGGCATGAGGCTCATGAAGGGCTCGGTGTGGAGGAAGCTGAGCTGCCATGTGAACAGGAGGTACGGAATGCACGATTGCAGCTCAGCAAAGGGGAGCCAAAATGGCGGAAGCAGCACTGTGACTGCAGCGGAGGGCAGATCCTGCCTCTCCAGAGCTCTCTGCAGGGCGTTCCTACATGCAGGCAGGTCAGTGATTCTTTCCAACTGGGTGTCATCTGCAAACTTACTGAGGGTGCACTCAGTCCCCTTGTCCAGTTTTATCAGGATGGGCTCCACTATTGGCCCCTGGAGAACACCACTGGTGCCAATCACCAGCTGGATTTGCCTCCATTCCGCACCACTGTCTGGACCCAGTCCTCCAGCTTCTTCACGCTCAGGCTGCTCTGAGTATGCACCATCATTTTGCTACAAAAAGCACCAGTTTCACCGTGCCATCTGCAGAAAACCGACCGTTTTCCTCAGCCTGTCAGACACTTGCTAGGAGTGATGGAAGCGAGGCCACGGTGGTGGCAGAAGAGCACTGTGTGGTCCGTGGGCTGAGGGTGCAGTGTGAGACACCAGACAGTGACCCACAGGGAGAGACAAAGAGATTTACGGAGCCCATTCCCATCCAGGCAAGCGTGTAAATGAAAGAGCAAACAAAAACTAATAAAAAATATATCTTGTAAAAAAGTTATTTGGCCATAAATGAACA